AAAATAATGCGTGAAGATAATTAAGAAAAATGACTCGACTCGTCAAGATCTCAACCTCTGAGGTTCCAGCAGGGCACGGCTCCTCATTTCAATATTATTTTTTTAGAACTTCAGCGGTCGATTCAATGCCCTTTTTTGTGCCACATTCTTTACTACGGAAATGGTAAGAGCAAACGCGAGCACCAGAAGATGGCGCAAAATTTTCTCTCCTGACACGATTTATCTAACTAAGGCTTACGAAACTTTGGATCTTTCGGAAATTCATGGAAAGATTTGTATGGCTGTTTCTGAGACGTTGCAGAGCACCCGCATACGTACAGTTCACCATAGTCCACTGTTCAGTATTTTTGATTTAAAAGAAAACAAGTCCTGCAATTTCATCAATTATTAAATTACCGGTACGTTATGCTGCTTGTTCTACAGTACTCTGCAATTGTAAAAATTATATTATTGCAACCGGTATATCAGAAACTGAGGTAAAAAGAATACCTAATACAAAAAGCGCCGCCGCGAGAGCAGGTTTCCAGATAAGAGCGGAATCGTGGCTACGGGTTAACATCGGTGACCAATTAGAGGAGAGTTTGGTTTACTGCCGTATTGGCGCTTACAACCTAGTTTACATGTTCAAAAACCTTTTTTTTTGCAATATTCTACCATGTCCCGCTTAAAGGTGCTGATAGCTACTCTTAACTGCTTTTCCGGGGCTAATTTTTGAATATTGCGACAAAACTGAAGTTTCTCGGAAGGCATGATAACAACTTATTTTTTTGGAAACACAACTGAACGCTGACAATATGCAAAACCACGGGAACGAGGCAAACTTTACGTTGCTGTTGACTTATTGCCGATTGGTCACTGTCACGGAAATAAACAAGGAAATACGTTGCAGATTGAAGTGATAATCGACCCCAACCGCTTAGATCAGAAACATCAGATACGAACAATCTTGGTTTACTTATGTTGTGACCTCCGAGCACTAGAGTAGACCAGCGCATTCAGAATGCGAGGACTTGCTGGGGGGGGGGGGGGGGGGGGGGGGATGACCAGGCTCAACTGGCGACTACTAGCAATGGTTGCAATGACATTATAATACATTTACGAGGTCATTAAATCATTATGATATCATAATTTTATGGTCCTCAAACAGGATATCACAGTAGTTTAAAATATCACATCATATTATGACGTCACAAATTTTCAATTTCGAAATAACAGCCTATTAATTAGCACATACACATACATTATGCTTATTATCATTCGGAGCAACAGGGTAGTAAAAAAACTATCAAACTTTCATACAGGGAACTCACAATTAAATAGAGAAATGGTATATGTCAGTCGTAACTTTTTTTTTTTATATCTCGTGATCCTTTCTGGAGGATTTTGGCTCTCATGGCTCCCTTTTTATCATTCCAGTGGTATTTATATTGTTACTTTAATTGGTAGATTCCAAATCCGATCACGATAAAACAATTCATGCTCGACAAAGGAAAACATCCCGTGAAATACCCTTATCAAGAAAACTAAGAAGAACGGGGAGTTTTTTGCCGCTCTTCTCCCTCTTGGTCAGTCTCCGGTTGGGAACCACTGGTATACGTCTATAATAGTCTTCTTTGCATACATTGTCATATGCTATACGTCAGGAGTGGCCAATCTGCTTACGATCGCGATCGACTGGTCGGTAATAAGGTCATACAAAAAAGCGAACGAGCACTGACTATGCAAATAACTGCACATACACTCACAATGAGCTCGGCTTTGTGGACGCATTCCTATTGAAATCGACACAAAATTTGTATTTTTTATGTTTCATTCAAGTTGGCAATATACTGGTTCAAGGCAATTTCTCAGGGTACGTTATTAAATTCCCTCAACATCTGACGCGATCGACTACTCGAGACGTGGCGGTCGATCGCGATCGACGTGTTGACCACCCCCGCTATACGTATACACTCTTAATATAGTCTTTCGGAGAACGAGTGATAAGTTGAACCGTTTATCATGACCGGAATTTGAAATCAATAGTGTCGGAGCAAATTCGTTTAACAATTCAAAGTGAATTTTCAAAACAAAAATAAAGAATCTTTTGTACAAAGCCCCCGTCGAAAAAATACCCCCCTCAACGCTCAAAATGACAAAATTAGTAATTATTTAGTAGTAGGGTTGGAAATGCAGATTTGTCTGAAAATTCAAATTTTAAAATAATATCTAACCCCTTGTTAATTATTTATAAACGTGGCTTTGTGCAAAAAATCAAAAATAAAATTACATCGGTGAAAAATAACCGATTACATACTCATGTCCTTTCCTCATTTGTAAAAAAAAGGCTAATCATCAAAAGTATATTTTCCGTTTCTCGAAATTCCATGAAGCGACTGTCCCTGACATTATTTTAGCGTCTACGCTCGAGGTAGTAACCAAAAAGTTCCCCTATAGGAAGGGATCACCCCCTCTCCTTCAAAATTTTAAACACCCCCGTCATTTTGAGGTGTGATACCACAATGTAATTCTTATTTCAAGCCTAATTGTATTCAAATAAATAGAATATGTCATATTTATCAGTGTAGATGGTCTTCCACATACCTAACACATTTAATATCAGTTACAAATAGTTATATATATCGCAAATAGCAAAATATTTACCACCCCTAAATAAAAAGTTGAAGAACTACTTCACACTCTTGATATACTTATTTATGGAGGGGGTGATTAACAAAAACGTTATCTTGGTAGGAATTGGAATCGCAATCAACGATTTTGGTTTACTCAACAATTTGCAGTGAATTTTATAAAATTAAAATACACTGGCGAAAGATCACCGAGAAAATAAAGCTTGAACAACCAATGCAGTCAGTATTACGCAAATCCACGTTTATAAAATGTCTATTTTCCGTTTCCAAATTTTTTTTCATGTCTTTTTATTACTACACGATTTATTCCCAGGCCATAAGAGGTGAAACGCTTATGAATATTAGGCTATTGAACAAATTTAAAAAGCAATTTTGGTCGACGATTATCAATAATTTGACATGAAAATTTGGCCCTAATTTAGTCTTACTACATACAATTTTACAATAAAAAATTTGCAAAATCGATGTCAAATCGGCTTTATGGTTTTAAAATATAGCCTCGAGACATTTTAGATAGTTCACCACAATTCAAAAACGATGTGTCAAAACTGTTATAAAACCTCATAAAAATTACCCAAAGTAAAGTTGTTATTATATAATAGAGTATATTAGAAACCCGTCTACCCAAATATAAAGAGAATTTCAATCATTTTTGATTAAAATATATACTTAGTTCATTTTATCTATTTTTTTAAGGAGAAATATAAATGTAATACAATTACTCTAAAATTTGAACTATTTTTAACAGTTTTTTAACAGTCCAATGAAAGAGTCGGCGCAATTGTTCGTTGGGTAACTGAATACACCATGATCATGTTTCGCGCCTTCGTAGGTCGAAGCACAACTCTTCTATTATATGTTTTCGATAGCGTCCGCCTATTTGAAGTCAACAATTCGTCAGTTGATAAAAGATTTACAAAACACTAACACTTTTCACAATAGTACGAGCGAGATGATTGGACCTAATCCTAACCCTCAACCACATTCAGACAAAAATTAACATAGATTAATTTTTTAATTCACACAAAGGGTTAAAAACTGACATAAAACACATTGAATAGTACATAAAGTATGTTTTAACACGGAAAAAGAAAATTTCTAAACAAGCCCGAAGTAGGATTCAAAACAAAAGACTCGTCGGAATCAATAGAATCTCACTGGAAGCTGATTATTCATTAAGTCTATGATCAAGTCACTTTTCAACCTACCGTGGGCCATATATAATATGTTGCTACTATACTTCATTTTTGTCTGTTTTAGGCTTGGTTGTATATTAAAATAACGCATACACACAAAGAATAGATAACAGATCTTCCATCTAATTTTTGAATTGATTTATGTCCGCATGTCTTTTGTCTTGAATCGTACAAAAAACTTTCATTACTTTCAATAAATTTGATAAAAATCAATTCACTTCGGCCTCTCTGGGAATATTTTTCTCGGATAATGCTCCAATTTTAATATGATGCGTTTAGATGGAAAGATTACAAGTATTAAGAGGCCTCCGGTCGTTTGCGTCCATCTTTATGTGTAGAGTTATTTGAATCAGACTCAGGAGTATAAGGTATAGGATGAGGTATTAGAAAGTTGATAGTAATATTAATATCACTTGTTTAATATTTAAAATCTGACGTCATATTATATATTTTATTAGCTCATTGGCAACGCAATAATTAGATTTTTTTAGTAAAAAATTGTGACGCCTTAGTATAGATTTTGATACCCTATTGATGACGCAACAATCAAAAAGTTTGTTCCCGCTTGTTTCAAGGTAAGTAGATACCGGGTCTCAGTTTGCGTTGATCAATGTAATTTTTTATCGCATTTCACTGCTTTGCCTGCTTATGTTTCAATACAAAGGGTTATATTACATTGGAGTATGGAAGTTCCCTTATAAATTTAAAATCTAACTGAGATTGCAGTTTATGAATTGGCTTATATGCCAGTTGCCAGATTGTAACGTGTTATTTATGATGTTCATACATGCGCTTCGGTAATGCAATGAAACCAATGCATCGAAGTGCAAACTTTCATAAAGTTTTATGAGTATATATAGTTATACATGCACAGATAGGCGGGGCGGAGCAAATGCGTTATAATATGATCATTGGGGGAAAGTTCCTCAGCAAGATCTCTCTCTTATTGGCTATATGTACTGTACCGAAGCATGCCGTCGGAACTTTGCTCCATCACTCTCTCTAAGAATGTTTTTCGTTGTTTAAGTTTATCTGTTTTTTTACTATAAGGTCCCGATTGCGAGCGTAATCTATATTCTAATAGTGTCTTCCCAAAAACTTAAATGTTCCGTAATTCTATTGAAAACATCAAACTTTATAAAAAAAATTTACAGGTACAAGAAACATCTGGGGATATAATTGAAAGAAAATGAACGCTACATTGTCACCCTCACCCCAGACATTGGGTATGATGACCGCACACGATGGTGGAAGTCCTATGGGTTAGTATTTTCAAAGTACAAAATCTATCGTTTAAAATAGGGCCAAAACAGATTCTAAACTGTAGCTTGCGAATCTTTTGTATAGAGCCCCCGCCTCTTTTTCAAAAATGTAAGATTACAGAAAATTACCCCCATCATGTTTTAAAATAACAAATTAGAAATTATCCAGTTGGGGTTCGGAATGATTTGAAATTTCGAGCGCAATCTGCATCTCTATCCCTAACTGGATATTATTGATATTCTTATTTTGAGCGTTGGCGTTTTTTTTGTGGGAGCTTCGTACAAAAGATCCTCTAGCGCAGGGCTACTCAACTATCTTTACCGAAGGTCCACATACAAAACTTTAAACATATTTGGATCCGGACTTCCCAGAAATCGGCATTCTTAATTCCTCGGCCGACTAATGATAAGATTGTCAGGATTGTTTGGTATGGCGTTATTGTCCATTTCATATATATATATATATTTTTTTTTAAATCTATAAAAGTGATTTTATAAAAAGAAATTTCAAAAGTGGGGCTAATGATCCAAAATAAAGAATTATACGCGGTCCGAATCGAATATCCGAAAGGTCCGGGTTCGGACCGCGGTCCGCCAGTTCAGTAGCCCTGCTCTAGCGCAGTGGTTCTCAACCTTTTTTAGTTCGCGGGCCGGTAAAATTTCAAAACAAATTTTGCGGACCGGCGGACCTTCAAAATTAACAAAAAAACACAAAACTTCATCAGAAGAATGCAATTACGAATGTCAAATTACGGAACGTGCGAACTGCGGAGTTCTCAGTCATGTACCGTACTACAGCGCTTCTCAAACTTTTTTTATGTCGCGCCCCGCTCTCACGGAATGTTTTACTTCGCGGACCACCTTTTTTAACATTTTTGTTTGCTAAAATAAGTCGAGGCAAGGTTGCCCAAAACAAATCGAATATTTTAATATATACTTTTTCAGCAAATTTTTGAATAATTGCGAATGATAGCCATTTTTCGCTGTCAGTTGGGTGTTTCGTTTTCGAGTGAAATCTTCAAGTGATTTTCTGCGCCTTTTCACGTATATTAATGACGATGAAATATAACTTTGATTGTTTGTCTTCTGTACGAGCGTTCATTGCCTGCTCAATCTATTACTTCCAGGGTGTGGTAGTCGGCATAGAGTTTGATCTTTAATCTGCGATGTCATACGGGGCTAAGCACAATGCTTTAAACCAAGGGTGTGCAACAGGTGGCCCGCGGGCCACAACCAGGCCGCCAAGCCATTTAGTGTGAACCGTTTTCAGACATCTAGCTGGGGCTCACAAAAAATTAGCGGGAAGGACATGAGAATGCGGCTATTGCTTGGCTTTGCATTAATAAAGACACCGGGCAAAACGGCAAAATATAGGATAGGATTATACATATTTATCCCGGGGGAGAGGAAAGCCGATAAGACGGCTTATCCATATGGCGTACCACGGCCTCTCGTCCGGTTACCATTCCAAGTCTGGTATGGGATTAGATTTACTGTATTGTTTGTTTTCGGAAGCATGGACTTGGTGGTGGAGGAAGCCGTAACCGACCAGCGGTTACGTGAACCACCCAATGACGGCGAGGAGTCCAGCAATCCTCTCGCACATAACCATCCCTGCATGGGATTCGAACCTGCGAACCCACGCAGAGTAGTTAGAGGTGCGGCGGCGAGCGTACTCCTAACGCTTAGCCCGTTGAGCCACACCGCCGCACACACACGCAGCGACAAGAGAAAACCCATGTGAAGCTCTTCAGAAATCAGTGTCTGCTCACGCAGAGCCTTTTTCGCAATTAAAAATACTTTGCAATATTTTACTTTAGGTGGAAGATTACGAGACCGATCTCCGAACTCATCGGTTGTCATGACTACAGTAATAACACGTCCTTCGTCACGTGGTCTACCAGAGGAAAAATCTGTTCAATCGAATTCAGGTAATTTTTATAACACGGAAGAGCGCTTGGCTCTCCATGTCGAATTTTTGTGAATAAAATTGTCTATATATCCGTAATCAAGCTAGTACTACTGATATTGTCAAAAATAATTATTTGTAAATCTCGGGACTGTATAATCTGTTATTTTCGAATAATCTGAAATAATTAAAGTTGGCATGTTCATGCATATTGTAACCCAGTGTTTCTAGTGGTGGGATTCAAATTTTTTGTCAGCCAATTCCATCACAAAAGTCATATTTTTCAGCCAGTTCTGTTACAAACAGAACATTGGCAGTAACCAGTAATGCTAACCGGTTTGCTGATCTCATAAAATTCCATGAGACGGTTCTATAGAACCGGTGCGAACCAGCTGAATCCCACCACTGTTTCCCAAAACTGGGTTGCCTGCCAATTTTATCGGGTCGCTTGTTTTTTCAACAAAAACCCTACAGATTTTATTTTCTAGTTGATTTTATTGTTTATTTTATATTTGGTATTGAAGCGTTGCTCAATTGTATATGTGGAAATTATCAATTCGTGAAAACTCGTAGCATTTATTTTGCTGAATAAAGCCACGCCACCATTTCAAAAACTAGCTGTTTGCAAACAAGCGCTGCCTTCTCACTTTGGGGTAATTTCTGGGAGAAATATTGTAATGTAAAATGGATTGTTTTATATTAGCCATTAAGTTTGCGGGCATAAAAGTACTACATGACGTTTAGTATTCGAGCAGGTACTCCCGCAGTATGTGTACCAGGTTAAGGTTAGACCATAATTTGATCACGATCTCCCTTATTTTAGTTCTATTACGAGCTCGGGGACTGTCTGTGTTAGCCAAGTGAATATATTTTCAGTCCCTTCAAACAACTTGATGTAAAGTAGGCGAACAAATTAGTTACCTCCATATTGGTACACGAGCGCCTTCGACCATATTCTTGAATCGCGATATTTCACAAAATTTATCTTTAAAAGAATTTGAATCGCTCGAAAAAAAGGTTGTGAACGACTCAGATAGTATCAGTTTTAGAATAAAATATATCAAGAAACATACTGATGTGATTTTATAAGCTACATTAAATTTTCAAAGTTTAGCGCTTGTAGAAAAATGGGTACTTCGTAGTATGTGTACCAAGTTACGGTAGGGCCATAATTTGATTCCGATTTTCCTTATTTTAGTTAAAATTATAAGTCCGGGGACTGTCTGTGTTAGCCAAGTGAATATACTCCCTGCCCATAGGTTTCAGTTCCTTTACACAACTTGATGACACAACAAAGTAGGCGAAAATTATTATTACCTCCATATTGGTACACATTCTTCTGGAGCGCCGAAAAATATAGTAAGATTCATTAAAACCGAATTATGAAATTATTTGTAAAAGTATAAGGCTATAGTAACACCCGGTTCTATCGAACCAATCCAAGATATTATAGCCGTGTGTGTAATAGGGCTTGGCATTTTCGAATACCTGATGATTTCAGAATCGAATCGAATATTTCTTTTCAAGTCGAATCTCGAATACTTGGATTGTATGTGAATTTTTGTTGTGATGGTTTGATGGATCCTCGAGGCGTACAAATTACTAAAAACATAGAATCCATCACTCAGACAGTTCACTGAGCGTTCACACACAATAAGAAACAGGTTTCATCAATAAATCACTAGAAAGAAACGAGTCATGTGTCAGAATTTCATTATAAAAATATGGCTTCAATAAAAAAAAATTGAGAAATTCACCTCGACCATTGGTGTCCAAATAAAAAACAAGATGGCGGCGAGTTGAAATTCCCGTCTGAAGCGATTCGAATAATTTACTTTTCAATTCGAATATTCGATTCGAAATGCCCAGCCCTATAATCTACATGGACGAAGAGAATCGATAGAATAGCGTAAAGGTCATTGACAAAGAATTTAATTTGAAAATATATCGTTTGAATTTACAAGTATTCGCCGCTGCGAGTCAAACGAGTAGATTGACTAGAAACATTTTACACAGGAAAAAGAGTATCCTGCTGTATCTAGCGATATCACGTTGGATAAGGATTTAGTATTTATACAGAAGTTAGAGAGTAATATAATTAATGAGATTTTTAAATCCCAAAGATGAAAAAGCTGACACGGTGTGAAGTAAGTAGCAGCCTTTTTTAGTTGGTATGATAGTTGTTTACGAGGTAATTTCCCAGATGCAGTCAATTTGAATACTATGCGAACAAAAGAGGGAACAATACGGTAATTCAAATATGACGTTGTCTATAAGTTCCAACAGATAATGCCATATTATATTTCTATTACCGCCTTGTTGCCATAATTTGAATATTTTTAAATACAAAGCAGCTAATGCATTTGAGTCATTAAATAAAGTGATTTTAAATAAATTTATTGTGGGACTGCATAAATAACAGTCAGCCCCCTCACGGGCTTCATAACACCAAAATTTTGACAACACTGGTCTGCAGTTATCTTTGCAAAACTGATAATTCATATCCGAGTTAATTTTTGAACTTAAAAAAAAAAAAGTTTTCGCTTCTTGGTAAGTTGGCTTTGGTGGCTACATTATGGAACGAGCGATCCCGATTGGACCTCGTCTTTACTCTAAAGTCTCGTCCATATTATGTGTGTGTTTCAATAAGTCTGGTATATATAGGGCAGGAAGCTATCCGTCAATCAAATATTACCGTCCATTGTGCGAGCTATGAATGCCGTAGGAATAAAATTAAAATTCATACAATTCACCGTGCAGTGTGGAATATAGCAAAGTTTTATCCAGTGTAATAGTTGCTCTGTGAGGGTGGTTTACCTGGTGCTCTTGTCAGATATATCTTATTTAAATACCTTACTGAGTGAAATGATAATTTTAACAACATAATTACTAACTAACTAGTAGAAATTAGCGATACAGTTACTTGAAAATTTCAGTAATAATATCTGTTTTACCTTAGTGAATAGTTAGAAAATACTTTTATTAAAGAAGCATTACGAGTTAGTATTATCAAAGGGTGTAAAAAGAATCCAAAAATACCAACAGTCTATGCATGTGTATGGAAGGCAGCCCATCCTTTGTCGCCATTGTACTGTTCTTTGGCAGGAAGAAGCACTTTGGAACGCTTATAATATAGTTTTAAATATACTTGGGTACAGAACAATTTAGTAATAAAAAGTTATCTTAGTATTAAAATAAATAATAGGAATAAAAATATAAGAAACTAATAATGACTCTTTGAATGAGTACAGAAAGTAGAATAATTTGCATACGTCTTTTTGAATGTGGGAAGATATATAAGATAGGATTTTTAGAAGTTATACTAATGATCATACAGAACTAGTTAGTAATCTTTGTGCAATGTGAAAATACCGTTTATAAACAATACTTTGAAAATAGGAAAATAAATTTACGAAGAATTTACGTCGGAACAGGTTTTGTTTTCAATTTTTGTAGCATTACTAAAAACATTGTGCTTCAAAACACTAATTTAATTAAACCTGAAGCATCAAACAGTGAGAGCTATGCTCAGAAATATGTACACGAAAAAATAATAGCCTTCTAGCAAAATAGCAATCTTTACCCGCTGAAAATTGGTCTAGTAGTTGATAAACAACAACAACATAATAACAAAACGACCCATAGGTCCACTTTGTGTCCGAAAAGGGTGCATGGATCGTTTTGCAAAATTATTGTTGGGCTACTTGCTCGCTCCTCGCCGCCGAAACTACTGGAACAATCACATTTCAATTATAGAACTGCTCTATGATACTATTACTTTTAGTTCTTGTCTGAGTTCTTAGAGATATGTCGCGTGAATCTTACTAGTTATCTTTCAGTTCGTGGGAACATATTTATATATTTAACATTTAGTGTGGTCATATAATCGAGCCTTGTGCTCTATTGATACAGATTCCGATCAGTTAATTAATCAAGATCAGCATTCTGATGTAATAATCGAACACAATGGAGTTCATGGTGTGCCTGTGATACAACAAATGCACACAGTTACTGATTCTATGACGTCAGAATTGAAAAGTCATTCATCCGCAAGCGAACAACAAATTCGTCAACCAGCAGTGGAATTGCAATCATTGGGAGATCATCAAAGAACAGTGTTGACGGGTAAGGCTCTTACGTTTTTCTCCTCTTGCAGGGTGTTCATTAAGTCCCTTTTCAATTTGGTATGAAGTCAGTTCCCAATATATCTTAATAACCAGGTTTGTTGTTTTTTAATCAGTAATTGTTTTTAATTAGTAAAAGTATTCTTACTTCATTTAATACATCTGTGGAGGCCAAAATAAAATATGATATCGATAAATTCCCTATGCAATTTAAAAAAAAAATGGTAGACTTTATGGACACCCTATATATGTAGAAAATCAAAAACACAGTAACTGGTCTAGGAATTGACCATAACTATATGTTATGTAACTAGTTGATATTTCAATAGACAGTAAATAGGTATTTTTTCGAACTCATTGTTGAAGTACCCGTACATTCAAGATTGTTTTTGTGCATTCTTTTGCCTTGAAGTTACTTTCAATAAATTGATGTTGAACCACACGTTTTCCTCTAATTATAATCTGAGTTAGAAATAGAAAAATACATTTTTCAAGCATTTCTAACTGCAGCTGGCATCAAATATATATGATTTCTATAGTGCTTATCATTACAATGGTCGTAACTTTGCCAGAAATGAGTATCACTCACTTATGAGTGAGCGAGTAAACGTAAACTTGTCTGTAGCATGTTGTTTTGTTGGAAAAAAGGCAATTTCGGTTATGACAACTTTAGGGAATATTCTAGCTGACACAGACCTTTAGTGCTGCCTTGTAATTTTGATAATATTTTCGATCAGTAGTGAACGAGTAAATGTAAACTTACCTTTAGCATGTTCTATTGTTGAAAAAAAGGGTTATCATAACTTTAGGGAAAGATCAAAGATCGTCAGTTCTGTCTAGTGAATTTGATATTAATTTCAATGAAAATGGCTCTGAAAATTTAAACCCTTCACAGCTGAAGATATTCCATCAAAGACAAATTTAAAAACGATTATTCGTTTTGCATTGTAATTTTATCTTTGATATCAAGAAAATATTCATTTTTTATTGCAGCTGTATCATCCGCTCAATATCCAGAACCGTTTCCAGCCGTGTATCACACTCCACAGTATGTAACTGGGTGAGTAGAAAAACTTCTAGCCTATATTTATGAATAAACTCTCTTCCAATGAAAATAGCAAGTGTATTCATAAGCGTTTGTTAAATAGTAGTCTTTCTCCCCCAGACAAAAAATATATAGAGTGTGCATGAAGTCTTTCAAAAATTTCAAAATCGCAAAGGAAATTTATCGATACCATATATTCTTTTGATGCTCACAGATGTATTAAATGAAGTAAAAATACTTGAACAATCACTGAATAAAAATCAACAAATCTGGTTGAGAAGTTGAAATATATTGATAACTAACTGACTTCATAACAAAATTGAAATTGTAAAGGGACTTCATATGCACCCTGTATAACTTTTCAAATTCTGATTTTGCTGTAATACAAAATGTTGTTGTTGTTGTTTATCACACTAATACAACTACCTCATTCAAGCATTCTTGTGTAAACTGCTACATACGGATTAAAATTAAAAAAGAAGAAAGCACCCGCAGTACGATATCCTATATTAGAGATGTATCTATACCACTTTTGTCGTCGATACGGATCCAATACCAACGAAAAAACACCGATACCGATATTTCAGAAACCCGATATTCCAATACTATGTGATTATTACCTTAAGTGTGCAGTGTAAACGGGTTAAAACAATAGTCTGTGAGCATAATTCATAGTGCACATATGAACACATGCACACATTTCAGATTGAAAAAATATATATTCCAGATAATAAGAAATTGATGTTTGTGATGCATTGTGCACCGACGCTAGTAATCTCAGTGTTCGGTTAGCAAACTCGTAGGGTTTGGCTCCTAGCCGCAAGTTTTCGGAACATGGTGATAATTAGCAATCTCGTTCTTCCATTTAGAGCTGACATGGTAAAACTTAGGCCCGCGGGCCAAATCCGGCCCGTTGGGTAATTCAATCTGGCCCACCTGATGTGGCCACAACCAAACTAAAATCTTATTTTGGTGTTTTAACTAAAAAATAGCTCGAGGAATTTGTTGAGATTGCGATTAAATTTAGTTCTGCCACGTGGCTTATTGTTTTCCGCATTCGGTTTTGTAACTGTAAATATTGTTCATAAAATGCAACTTTTTACGTCACGCTTACATGGCCCGCCAGTCTAGGTGGGATAAATTTTCGGCCCCATGTCCAAAAACCCTGACAACCCCTGTTTTAGAGCTATAACTTTGTCATGGTTTTCTAAAATGAAGCCACGAACCTGTTGTTGTGAATTCGATACAAAAGAAAACCTGTTTTTACAATTTTAAAACCCACCGTCACGTAGTACCTTCATGCTGTTATGGCTCTGCATTTCAAAATTACATTCAAATATATATTGTGCTCGGATTAGTGAGTCTCTATTACTAGAGTATCAGTTATACTTTGTCACAATCCAAAAGATTCTCAGTTGATTGAAATACTAGATTCGGGTGGTAATTTTACCCCGTCTGTTACCAGCTACAGTGTTATGAAACAAGAGCTACCGACTTCTCTGGTCAGCTCATTCCGTCTGCTGTTGTGAAATTTGACAACTTCTTACAAGTGTCAGCTTTCTGCAGAGTGTTTCAGTATTCGTTATACCGCAGGGGTTGGCAAAAGTTTTTGTACCAAGGGCCAAAAATTTTGCCCATCTAAAATGACGGGCCATGTAAGTTTGACGTAAAAAATTACATTTTAATATCAATATTTACAGTGTTACAAAAGCAATAGTGGAAAACAATAAGCCTCGTACCAAAACTAAATTTAATCGTTATTTCAACAAATTTCTTGAGCTATTTTTTAGCTGAAACTCCAAATTTGGGGTTTAGTTCCGTTGTGTCAGCATAAGACGGGCCAGATTGAATTACCCAACGGGCCGCATCTGTCCCGCGGCTCGTAGTTTGCTCATGTCAGCGTTATAGTCTGTCACTACTAGTTATTTTGAGTCGGCTGTGGACTCGGAAAAATGTACAATCTATTTCCTTACTCCGAGTTGAAAAAAATTCGATTTCGACGAGTTTAAGAACATTTTAAACTTTAATTCCACAGCCCTAATTTAAGGCACAGAACAAATGGGATCACATTCTGCTTGGGTAAAATACCTTTTATACCAGTACTGATCACTATTTCGCATCGTGGCTAAGCGCTCGCCTCCGCACCTCGGATTACCCTGCGTGGGTTCGCAACTATGTGCGAGAGGATTGCTGGACTCCTCGCTGCCGTAGGGTGGTTCTGATATCCGGACGAGAGGCCGTGGTTCGTCATATGATTAAGCCGTATTATAGGCTGTCCTCGGCCCCGGGAGAAATATGTAAATCCTATACTAAACAGCAAAAGATTCATCAACCACATCTCTGTAAAGTATATCTTTATAACAATTGTTCTGGGAGTAAATTTTCATAAAACCTGACGGCATACATATTTGTTTAACTCAATTGATGGTAGCTATTCCTTCGGTAACTATTATAAACATAGAGCAGATCCGCATGTTGTTTGCCATCTGCATGCGTTCGATGAGTTTTGAGAGAAAAATAGGCAAACTGAACTAGCCAAATGCTAAAGTGAATATAATTTCTACTCCCACTTATCTTTGCTTTTTTGCATATTCTCTGTACTTTAAATAAATGAATACCATACTATGCTAATCAAGAGTCCTGCTGCACACTAACACAAATGTATTTCTGTAACGTTCCGTCTGACTAAAATCAGAATTCCTCAGACAAGCAGTTTACAACTTGTTGACTTTGGTCAGACAAAACGTTACAGAAATACTTTTGTGTTAGTGTGCAACAGCACTCTCGAATTGCATAGTATGGTATTTATATTACTGCCACAACATCCTTGCAGTATACGCATACGGATCCACTAGCGCAAATACATTGAGGAAAGATTGGGAGTTAGTCTCGCATTACCTCTACTTAAATGAAATAACAATTCAGATTTTATGTTCAGAATTGTCGATCCATCATCGTTTGTTCATATCCCAGCAATTCAAGACAGCATTCAATACCAGCAGCACGTCATTCCACCACATTTTGTTGAGCAGCAACAAATACAACATCAGCACCAACAACCGGTAATGCAAAGTATTTTCTCTGTTTACACATAGTATAATAAGGGTAGTAAGGGTATGTGAAAGTAATTGGATAATTACTGATTAAAAAACAACAAACCCGGTTAAGATACATTGAGAACTGACATCGATAAAGAATTAAAATTGGAAAGGGACTTTATGAACACCCTACCCTGTATTATCCATCTGTAGCCAATAATAAATAAAATGGCCATCATTTTTGACAAATCGAAAATATAAGCAAAACTTTAAAATATTTTAATTCACAGATTCATCTTTCACAAGAGCTTCCTCCTCCGCCGATTGGCTACCCACCCGGAATTATGCAGTCGAACAATAACTCATCAGCCAATCGAACAGCAGCTTTCTACCAAAGGCAGTTGTATCCCCAGGCATCCCAAGGTAATATTTTATAGCTTTGACATTGTTTTTTCAAAAAGTTGGTGGCGATTTTTATAGAATATGCATTGATTTCCAACCTTTTATGGCTCGTGGCCCCTGTTTAGCATTCCAGTTGTATTTATGATGTTATTTTGATTGATAGATTTCAAATCCCATTATGTTCAAACAATTTATGCTCAATAAAGTGAAACGGTGATTAAAGGCTTATATATTTTGGTTGGTATGGGGGTTAGCGTTCTTTCCAATAGAGCCGCTTCAACAAAATCAAACTTTTTACTCTTTGTCGAGTATGCTTTTTTTCTGCGCGAGTCAAAGATCATCCAAGTCCTGAATCAAGTCAGTCACTGAGTTAAGTTTCACTGACAATTAGTTGAGTACAAGTCATTTCATTCTTTGCTCGCGGATTCTCAAGCTGAATCTCTATACCAGGTATACTAATTTAACTTCTATTTGATGTACTTGCAGACGCAAGACCGATCAAATTAGAGCAAGGAGGAACGTCTACACCTCAAACTTCTTATCCATACGTTGCTCAGCCAGGCTTCCCAGGACCTCCGCAGTACGCGATTCCTTTACAAGGTTAGTATTACTTTGCTTTCCACTGGTAAACATGCTGGCTAGAAAAAGAAATATGTAGATTACTTTGCTATAAACCGCCGAACAAGAAGTATGCAGATGACTTAGTTCCGCAAGCTCACGAAAACGCTTTGTTCACGCTTTTTGTCGATTCTACGGGCCAGAGATGTGATGTTGGGGATCATTTGTAATTGACTTCGTTTCAGTGAAAACATGTCAAACTCCGACTTTACGGCTCTACTCCAGCTCAATACTAGTAGCTTTGAACTTAGGAAGCAGTGCTATCTATGATAGCCAGAATAGTAGACTGAAGTACCGTTTAGTATTGATTTAGAATGAAGTGGATAGAATTAGAGGCGTGTACGGGTATGAATATTTGTTAAAAATATTTTTCATTAGTGTTTTCTTTTAATTTTTGTAACCGTAAAAAGCTTTAAGGAGATATGCACAAAATTGCGACGCCCGCTGGTTGTCGCTGTCAAACGGCTAATTTAATGGAAAAAAAAATCAGCGTATTCGGGAGTTGCTGACTTTAAATCACAAAAAACTTACTGGACATTAAAACTTTCCATTCTTTTTTTTAAAAAATCTGTGCGTAATATGGGAGCAGTTTCTAGAGCTTGTTATTGTAGCCAGAATTTCATTCCTTTTTCATGAAGACCAAGAGTTCTGGTTTCTGTAGTTTACATTTGTGGGAATCCTTCTCTTTCCCAGTATTCGAATTCTAGCGTTTCCTTGATTTGCTAACTGCGTTCTTTTCACTTCTGTTATTATTGGCTGTGAATTGTTTTTGCAGGAAATGTAATAGCTAAATGCAGCCACATATGCGCACAAACCAGAACCCTTCTAAATACTGAAATAAGAACTTATTTTCACTGATGTCATAAGTGTTGGTTTAGCAGAGATAATTATATTAGATCAAACGAGTTTGCATATCTGTCGATCAATAATATTTTTAGCGGCAATAAGTATTTTTGCTAACGGCACTTCTATTATGATAGTCTATTAACTGTTAATCAACAGCCATCTCACAGATACCTTCAAAGCACCAATTATCAACACCACATTCGTTACAGATTCAAATCTACCCTATGTTAATTGTATTTGGTATGGTGCATCGTGCTAAGCCTTGGGCATACGCTCGCCACCGCACCTCTGATTACCCTGCGTGGGTTCGCAGGTTCGAATCCAATGCGGGAATAATTATGTGCGAGAGGATTGCTGCACTCCTCTTCGCCGTAGGATGGTTCACGTAACCGCTGGTCTGTCACGGCCTCCTCCACCATCAAGTCCATGCATCTGAAAAATAAACAAGTCAACTGTGTAACTAATCCCATACCCGACTGGTCCCGTGGATTGGTAACCGGACGAGAGGTCGTGGTTTGCCATATGATTCAGTCGTCTTTCTTCTCCTTCGGGATAAATATAAAAATCCCATCCTGTTTTGTGTGGACGAGTGGCGAATTCTTCACATCAACAACAAAAACAAATCACTATAGTAACATAATAGTTACCTGTTATTTTAATTTCGCGTTCTTTGGTCGCTACCAGCACTTGACCGCCAGCTGCCCAAATTACTCTCTTATTTTCCATTCTCTTGCAGTCTATTTGCGACAGATTTTCTTTCGAGTTCTAGACTAGCCTTATACTTCAGCTTTGTAGGTTTTTCCTTAGCGTGAGAAACATTCTGTTTTGTTAAAGCATGCGTAAAAGCTATTGAAAACTCACAAAGCATTTTACCAGGTCGTTTATTACGAAATTCCATATATGTTGTGACGACACAATCATGGGTGTTTAACATTCCATCAAATTGTTTGGTAATAAACAGACTACTAGTCTACAGCTAGGCCCATCATCAAGTTCGCGTTGCCAGACTGAACGGTAACAATAAGATGCAATGTAGTGAAATATATTATTATATTACGTTTGAAGCTCTTTATTTGCGTTTTTAATATGCAGAAACGAGATAGCGAAATATGAATGTAATAACTGTATACAACAAATACAAAATTACTATCAATATTTAGACTGTTATTTTGTCAAAATTACGAGTTAGCATTCAAATATTAAAAACTTTTTAATATACGGTACTCAGAATTTAAAAATCTAGGTTATGGAAAGAATACAAACATATTTATTTTTAATTTTATTCATTCTGTTCATACAATATTTCTGGCAACCCAGTATCAGTCCGCAAAAATTCAAGATAAGTAAGGTCGAATTTAGGCTTTTTCGGGGTAAAAATTTCGGAAGTAGGGCTGATAATGTGTTGGCAAAATGTAAGTTGTGACAATAAACAGAAAGGTCTCCGCAATTAGCGCAGCGTGGTGTTGAGGGTGAGGCATAAAACTATTGTTAATGATGTTTGATTTTATACCGTGCTCAACTTTACCGGTAAACAAGCCCCGTATTTACACTTCTTGACAAAACAAACCTCTCTGTCGTCGTTTAATCCTGGGTTAAATGTCAGTTTCTTCGAAATTGATAGGTCAAACTTACAGTATCGGTTACTTACCGATATTGCCTCTCTGTAATGGTGAATTATACGGCTTTCAAGTACCGGTAGCACAAAAACCGAGGGCTTTATATCGTTGTTCATAACGAGGTATTGAAAAACGAGCATCGGCCGAATGGGTTACTGCCTGGGTTATGTTATGAGCGATAAAAATCTTACTGGTAAAACTAATGTGTATTAGATATTAATAGAAAACGAAACACTTCAATTTTGCCTAGAATATTATTCAACATTTTCTAACTTGGGGTTAGCCAGTTGCTGAACGGATTCGATTAATTTTCGCTACATTAGTATATTTTGTGTTTAAAATCCAATCACAGAAAGAATGTTGCATTGATATAAGTTATTGATGATGAAAATCGTAATCTAAATAGTTACAGATCGTGAAATTGACATACAGTTAGTTGAATAATTAATATAATAATAATTGACTAATTAATACAATACAACAAATAAATCGAAATTGTCATTGTAAACATTTTATTGAAAAACCTAAAACGTCTTACATGGCTGCAGATCTCACATATATCACAATTTAACTGAAATCAACATTACAAGATTAATGGGTTATTTTCCAATAAATAATTTTTACAAAAGTAGTTTGCATTTCATATAAAAATGTCATGTTAGCGCATTATAGCGCTTTGTGATATATATTTAGTTTATAAACGCGTTCACACCTTTGGTCTTACAAACCGCGGCTCCAGAGTGGTCGAGTAAATATACTTTGTGTATAAAACATTCACGTATGTGTTTGAAACTGCCGTAATTGCCACGGAAAAACAAAAACCATAAATTGCAAAGCGCTGACAGACGGGTAAGGTAAATTACTGGGTAATAATGATTCTAAATTGAGTAACTGCATTAGCGTAAATGTTCTCGTTGTATCTCATTTATCAATTTTGACAGCTTTTAACAAGTGGTATTGGCTATGCCTAATTTATTCTGCCGTGTTATCAAGGCAATCAGTTGTAAATGGAGTCGAATGTGGTTATTTGGTTGTTCGGGGAAATAACCTTTTTAGCATTTGACTAATATGAAGTCTGGTAATTGCAGCTTAAAATTACCTAATAAAAGTAAGAGTTGGATTGTAAAAGTTCTAGTTTCATTTATTTCCTATATGAAATTGGTTTATTAAAATTTTTTACGATTAAATCTTGCGACCCTCTCCAAACAGAGCCCACGGCACGGGTCATGATAGTCATACCCTAGATACGACACGGCGCACAGTTGGATCCATATATGACCCCACTATACCCTTCGAAGCTAGACTATGCTCCAGAGAAAGTATGTTAAACTTTGTACTACGTGGAATAATATTCTCTTATTTTATTGCTTTTTGATAAGATACGACTTTCTGAATTGTCAGTGCATCTGTGGGTATCGCGATGACAAAACAATCTCCCAATGCACACGGTTGCACAGACTGTATACCAAAGCTTGAAAATATGATTACTTCTAAGTAGCTCTGAAATAAAAAAAAATGACTGGGTTAAGCGGAAGAACATGGGGTGAGGAACACATTAATAAAAGCTGCCAGAACGAGAACATACCCTTTACTCCATTTGATCTGGTTCTTGGACGAATCTAAAAAAATGAGTGGAGGTGACCAAAAATGGATTCCTGTGTTGAAGTTAACGCCTCGCAAAATGTAATTTATAACAATTTACGCTGAAATGATATTGCTTCCATCTCTTTACTTAACTTATCGTAAGTATTGCTTTACCACATCTTCTACATATATGCTTTACTTCAATACCCTTGTGTCAGTGTTGTATTTATCCCTTACTTAATCCCTTAGGTCGTGGACTTCACGTTCAGTTGTCAATGACTTATGGTCGAAACTTGATACAATTCCGAGAATTATGTCGAAGCTTAAATTCATTTTCCCAAAATTTTAAATGAGTTTTAATGAATAATGCATACACCACGGAACCGCTGACTAAAAATACGTGTTTCCCTTCATTGAGAGTCTAAAAGTATCCAAATTATGGAATACCGCTGTAATGATTGATGATATGCCAATTGTAACATACATTCTCATTGAAAGAGTTTCTGAACATCTGATACTCTGCGCAAGTTAACATTTGTATTTGGTAAATTCTGAATGCCTTATATTTGAAAGGTGTGATGATTTGGATTTCATTCGGAATAATAATAATAAATCGAACGTATTGAATTCCAGATATTTCTAACTTTTACCTTTAGTTTTTAAACACTTGATGTTATGCTTATATTTGAATATTCGTTGAATTCATATCTTTGGTACGTGTGAAAATTTTTTTCTGAGTATACAATCTGGCGATAGTCAATTTCTACCTTCTAACAATGAGTTCATTATCTGTGTTGTTTATGAGTTGGCAAATATTGTAGAAAGAGTTCTTGAATACCGGATATTTGGCGCAAATTTGAACACGGCTGCCTTTTGGGCAAATCTTGAAACCTGCCTATCTACGGTTCATGTTGAAATTTTATTCAGAGTAAAGAA